GATTGAACTTCTTCTCAAATTGTCTTCATCATTATGCAAAGAGAGAAAACTTGACATTCTTAAATAAAAAAAAATTAAAAAGTTTATAGTTTTATTTAAAAATTAATAAAATTTGTATCTTTAAATAGAAAAATTTTGAAGTTTGTATTCTTATCTACAACTTTTGGCTTTTGTAACTTGATAAAATCTTGATGTTAAATTTGCATAACTTATTAAGCATATATATTCAATTGTTTGTCTTTAATCTTATCCTTGTACAGTTGAACTTAAATTTTATTTGTTAATTTAAATTTCTTAAGAGATGTTCTGCTTTAAGGTCCTTAATTTGGTTTTGAATTCTCCGATTGATGGTGTGTTCCTTAGAGAAATGCTTGAAAGAGGAGTTTTCTATCGGTTGAGGAATTTTTTTTTTTATATCTATGCTTATGCCTTGAGAAAGGTTAGAAATCGAGTTTTGGAGAGGAGGAGATTGGCCCAATCTAGGGTCTCCATGATTTAAAATGGCTAATTTACATAGTTGTTTCGTGTTCTCCTTTGGTTATTAGTTGGAATTCAAAGGATATTTAGTATAGTTGAAGATAAGTAATGCAAGTTTGGTTGTAATTGTTGAAAATTGCATGTTTTTATATGCTCTTGATACATTTAGGGTGTCTTGAAACCAAATTAGTCTTTTGATTTCATGCATCTTAACATATTTAAGTAGCTTATCTTTTACTATTTCTTCTATGTGGGACTCTTGTTTTTTAAGGAATTATATTAAATTTTTTTTAATTAAATACCAACAAGAGTCATCTTCTTGTCTTGGGAATCTTGAAGGAATCATGGCTCTTATTCTTAACTATTTTATGTGACAATTTATTAGTGATTTCTAAAAGTAATAACTACAGGCTAATATATATTCCATAAAGGGAAAAAATTATAAGAAACTAAAACTTCCACCATGTGCTTATGTTTATTTTAGTGACTCTTTCATCAAAATGACATGCTATTGAATGTTAAGGCTCATGTTATTTGTTTTAGGGAAGTAAAATTTTTTAGCAAATGAAGAAAGCTATAAAAACTTATGCCAATGTTTACTTCAATTTTTTTTTTTTTTGTCTTCATTGGTTTTAATTTGTTGGTTGCAGTTTATCATTTTATTATTGTGAATAAAACATGGATAAACTTGAAAGAAACCTCAAATCCAAACTACATAAAAGGGATTTTGAATTTTGTAAATTTTGCATTTGAGAAATTTGCAAAAGTTGGGAAAATATTGTGCCCTTGTAGGAGATATGCAAACTTAAGTTGATGTAAAAGCGAATAGGTTGTTGATCATTTAGTAAAAAGGGGTTTTCTTAGAAATTATAACCAGACTTCTCATGAGAAGGATTCTACAGTGGTGAATTCTAGTGAAAATCAAAATGAAGAGGAAATAGCTTTTAATCATGATATTAGAGGGTTGCTACAAGATACTTTTGTAGGGGTTAACATGGAACATAACATCCAGAATGAGGTTGTAGAGGGTTTCAATTTTGGAGGTGATTTTGACCAAGAACCTCCAATACTTGGAAATCATATGGATGGCTTTTTTAATTTGTTGAAGGATGCTGGGTACAAATTATACCTTAATTGTGATGAGAGTAAGTTAGCTGCTGCTGTGCATTTATTTCACCTAAAATGCTTAAATAGGTGGATTCATAAGCCTTTCACTCAATTGTTAAAGTACTTAAGTTTCTTGCTACCTAAAAAGAATCTACTGCCTAAGTTTTATAGTGAAATCGAGAAAATCATTAAAAGTTTAGGCTTAAGTTATGAGAAAATACATGCTGGCCTTAATGATTGCATGTTGTTTTGGAAAGATAAAGCTAATGATGATTTTTGTTCTAAGTATGGTGCTTCAAGGTGGATTGTTAACACAAATACTAAAGAAGAAGATTCCACAAATTGCACAATGAAAAAGAAAAAGCCAAAAGCTACTAAGATCTTGCAATGGTTCCCTTTAATCCCAAGATTACAACAGCTGTAAATGTCTTCAAAAACTACTACTCTTATAAGATGGCACAATGAAGAACAGACTAAGGACAAACTTATTCGCCATCCTACAAATTCTATTGCTTGCAAACATTTTGATGAAAAATATCCAAAGTTTGCTGTTGATCCTCAGAATCTGAGATTGGATCTGGCTTCGGATGGATTTAACCTATTCAAGTCAATGAATGTCACATATAGCACCTGGCCTGTTATAGTAATTCCATACAACCTGCCTCCTTGGTTATGCATGAAGCAACCAAATTTGATACTGTTACTATTAATTCTTGGTCCAATTAGCTGCTTCCAGTAGATTGGATATAGAGGTAAACTTTTTTGTTCAACCATTTAATTGCTTTGAGATGCTATTACTATTTCAGTTTTCATAAAAATCTAGTTATTGAATTTTATTTTTCAATAGACACATGTAGCCCGTCAAGAGGTATATAATACTCATTTATACCTCTTCATTTTGGTTTCACCATTTTTTAAGTTTAATCTCTCAAATCTATTTTTTTTTTATTTCTTTTGGTTGAATTTTTGAAATTTTAATTATTCCTCAATTTCTTTCTACTAAATTGTAGGTTCTGGATGCTAATAATGGGTAAGGTATTTCCCCAAATAATCGTTCCTTTTCACATTCAAGCCATCACCTTTTGTCTCAATAAAATGAAAATAATGAAGAGAGTGATGGGCAAGGGAATTGAAAGGCATGTTTGTATCTTCTCGCTTGACAATTTTAAGACTTATGAACTTAGTTTGATAGATGCATTTTCTTTTGGACAACTTTACAACTTTTGATATGAGATACAAGCTATTTTTTGGGAATGTTGATTTGGATGGTTCATGTAGCTTGTGACATATTTATGAGATGCATTTTCTTTTCGTTATTAATTCTCTTATGAATGAATTATTACAATTTTTATGGAAGAAATTATGGGAGGTTAGAGTTGCTCTTATTATGTGTTATAGAACTAACAAATTATGGGTGGTTGAGTTGTTTTTATTATGTGCAGAGGAAATGGCAAATTATGGGTGGTTGGAGTTGTTTTTTATTTTTGTTTTCATCATTTTAGATGGAAAATTAGAATTTTTTTTTCTCCATTCATAGTTAGCTTTTGCCTTTCTCCAATTTGAGGATTTATTATGTGTTGAGGATATGGTAACTTATGAGTGGTAGGAGTTGCTTTTTGTTTCTATTTTCATCATTTTAGATGGAAAATTGTATTTGCTTTCTTTCTCCATATATAGTTAGCTTTTGCCTCTCTCCAATTTGAGGTTTTATTATGTGCTAATGAAATTGGCAAATTATGGGTGGTTGGGGTTGCTAACATAATTTTATAAAATTAATTTAGCTTGATTTCTCATTCTACTGAATATGAAGTCAGGACAACAAACTCAACTTATGTATATGTATCAATTCCCAAGATTTTGAATTGCTTAACATAGCAATTTTACTTGTTTATTTAAAGATATCTTCTTTGCATTCACCTTCATTTTTTTTTTTTT